GGCTGGGCAACCGCAGCTATGTGACTGGGGATTCCTCACTCTTGCCCAGTCTCAGTGTCCTTTATAGAAGGGACTGAGGAGGCTGACGACACAGAACTAAAAAGTTATGTGCTTACACTGCCCGAGAAGTTGGAAGCACTTTGACTCTGTGTGTGTGTGTGTGTGTGTGTGTGTGTGTGTGAGAGAGAGAGAGAGAGAGAGAGAGAGAGAGAGAGAGAGAGAGTCCCTGACTGCCGGAGCCAGAGCAGGCTGTGCAGAAGATGGGACATTAGAGTTGGGCTTGCCCAGAGGAGGGAGCATAGGAGTTTGCCGGATAACTTCTGGGACAGCATTTAGTTTGTCCCTCCCTTCTGCACCCATCATCTGAACTTGTGACTCACGGAAAGGACCTGAGTCCTTTTGGGTTCCCTTGTCTGATCTATTTGGGTCTCAATACGTACTCTGACCCTGACCTCATCCACATTGGCCCCATTCCATCAGGCAGGGATCTGGTGACTTTGTGGGTGATCTGAGAGCTGCCAGTTGCAAGCAGCCCTGCTTGACTGGGTCCTCAGAACCACCCAGTGAAGTATTACTCCCGGGTCTTTCTGAAGTCACAGAGGAGGGAGCTGAGAAATCCACCCAGCCACTCACAAGAGTACAGCAGTACTTAGAGCCAGAGGGGTCCCTCTGTGGAAATGTCAGATTAGGGGAAAGACCCTGGGGGTACACAGGGGGCACAGTGGCACCCCCATGACTCTGTGGATCCTGGCTATGTGGGATGGTGGGCATACAGAAGTTCAAGGTGCAGGGGTGAAGAGAGAGGGGATGCCTCGAAGCATCGACCAAAGGGAAATCTGTTTTCAGACATTGACTGTGCCTGGGAGCTGTAGGACCCTAGGACTTCTGCAAGGGGAGTGACCCCTCCAAGCCTTGCTACATCCACCACTGTGATCCGCAGCCCACCCCTCACCTTGCAGACAAGCTTCCGACACCCTTGCTCCTCTGCTTCTCCCCTGCCCCACTTCTGGATTCCTGACTTAACATCCTCCTTCTGCCTCTCTGCTTGGAGTCACCCCATCAGAGAGCCAGAGTGACCCTGGAGTAACAACAAAAACCTTGTAAACAAATCTGTGCTTTTGGAGCAAGGCAGACTCCTAGGTGGACTTGACTGGCTTTCTGTGTTCTTGCTGGAGTGAGGAACAGGGAGACACCCCCACTCCCCGCACACTGAACATGGGTGTGACTGGAAGAATATGGACTGGAATGGTACAGTCAGCAGAAGTGACTGGAGTCCCCAGAGCTGGTGTGCTCCACAATCCCATGCCCTGCTGCTCAGGTTTGCTAAGCAGGTGACACGGGAGCTGGGCTGGGGTATTCTGCCCTTCCCAGCCACCTCCCTGCTAGCCTCAGCTCCCGGGGCCTGTTCACCACCATCTCTGGGACACTCCTCACCCCCACAGTGCAGTGCCTCCAGCTACCCACCTCAGAAGTTTGAGGCTGGAATTTAGAAAAGTTCAGTTGTCACCATAATTGACACAAGCAGCCTGTGGGCTCTGCTGTGACAGAAATCCAACCTAGCTGGCTCTTCTAAGCCTCTCAGAAAATATAGATCACCTTCATGTACCCCAGACCTATGGCCTGAAGAGCAGCCACTGGACTTCAGGGAAGAAGACAGCCCCGTGGAGAATCCTCCAAACAGCCTCCCTGGAGGCTTAGCGTCATTTCCTGCCAGTTCTCCAGAAGGCTGGACCTTTCACCTCAACCTCCAGCCTCTGGGAGCCTCTTGACCTCCTGACAGATTGCTTCTGCAAGAATTGCGTTCGCTCTTCTGAGCCAGCCTGAGCTGGTCATCACAGGTAGTACGTGAGACCCGACTGTGGCATCGCAGTGAGAGGAAAGTGCCAGGGGGATGGGATCACACAGCCTCCTATGATTGCGGCTCTTGGGGTGTTCAGGGAGAAGAGACTAAAGAACAAGAGGGGCGCACGGCAGGGAAAGCTTGTGAAGGAGCTATCAGCATGGGGTCATGTGGGGTAAGCAGGAGCCCATAAGCCCATGAGTGTGAGCTGCTCACGGGGAGCATGAATGGTAGGTAGAATGTTTGCCACGTGTGGTGACCTCTGTTGAAGCAAAAGCAGTAAAATACAAGTGACACCGTCATTGAGGGTTCACACCTTCCCATGGTTCCTGTGATCATGTCTGAGATGGGCCTCGGAGCTCCTGAGATGGACCAGGACCAAGGGGAGGCTGGCTTACTCAGAGCTATGTGGATTGGATGTTGCTGTACCTCAAAGGCCTATGTGCTGATGCCATGGTCCCCGAGGTGGCATTTCTGGGAGGTGGGGATGACTGCTCCAAGGACCCTCCAAAACACGCTTCGGTTTAAGTGGTTTTCTCTGATGCCCCCTGCTGGCAGTGGTAGGACTCTCAGTTCAGGTGGCTGCATTGTCATGGCTGAAAGCCAACATGGAACTGAGTCCTCTCCAGTGCTTGCTCTAGCTGTTCCCACAGAGCCCCTGATCCCCATGCCCTATGGGGGAAGGGAATCCTCACCTCCAGAGTGAACCGTTGAGATCAGGGCTAGTGCAGCCTCACTTGGCCCCAATACAGGCTATGCTGGGAATGGGTGTGCCTAGTCATTACTGAATGATGACCGCTTGGTGGAGCCTTTATCCTGGCCTCTGGTCTAGAAGTGGCCATCTAGTGTGAGTTCATTACTTAGCGGTCCTTTCCCCAGCCTCCTGAGGCAGGCGAGGGAGCTATGGAGGTTCTGGGAACAGGGAAACATGGGTGAGGAATCCACACCCACTGCCCTCCTCCTAGGGCGCGCCTGTGTCTGTCCTCAGACATATCTGGAAGTCCCCACTCCCAGGTTGATGAGTCCCCACAGAAATGCTCTCACCCTGCTGACAGGGTCATAGAGGCATCCTCGATCTCCAAGAGCCAAGGCTCCTGCTCTCTATAGATATCAGCCTAGAATTCCTGCCTCCCTAGAACACAGAGGCTGTCAACCTGAGTCTGGTCAGGAGGACTGGCTTAGCAGAGATGCCACAGTGGGTGGGGAAGGCCATTTTGCACAGCAAAGCAACCCGAAGCTCTGGTCCAGTCACATAGGGGGTCCTGGTGATCCTGCCCTCATGCCTTCTCGGATTCCTCAATGCCTGCATCTTTCTACCTTGAACAAAGCTGGTGCAGAGAGTGGCCGTGCTCCCAAGAGAGTGAACACAGCCCCATGGCCTCAAAGTCAGGCCGTGTGTGAAGGAAGGTGGCTGGATAGATTTAGCAGACACTAGGCTCCATCTAAGTCTGAACCATGGGCAATGGGCCTGCTGGCTGCTGCAGCCTTCCTCAGGCCACAGGATATCCTAGACCCATGCTGAGGGGTACATCAGGCCTAGGTGGAGCCTGAGAGCCCCAGCTTCCATCCTCCACTCCTGCCTCGGCAGAGATTCTGCAGGCTGCTCTGGGCCCATGCTGTCTCCCTCATCATGCACAGAAACTCAAAGCTGGGCTTCTTTGGTTGCAGATGATGAGACAGAGGGTCTGAGAGGTTAGGACAGTGGCCAGTGTCACTCAGCCTTGGTATAGCATGGTATGGCTTTTGGGGTATCGTGGGATTATGAGCACCATAATAGGAAACAGCCCTGTGGAGGGCCAACTCAGGAAACACCCTAAATCTCCTGAGCACGCTGCTACCCAAGTCTCACCTCAGCCCCAAGGCAACCACTTTGTTTTAGGGCTGACCAACCTGGGCTCATAGAGATCTACTCCCAAAGGCCCTGCACTCCCAAGATAGCTGACATCTGAGGACCCCCAGGCTAGGGACGACTCCTTGCTGAACAGCAGGCAGGGTATGACCTCAGCCAAGTGGCCTTATTTACCCCGACTCTGGCTGAGCCCAGAGTGGGTCACCATTACCTTTCATCTTCAGGAAGGCTACCTCCTCTCCCCCTGTGGCCCAGCCCACCCAGGAATAGGACTGTCCACAACTGGTAAAGGGCTTGGATGAGGGAGGAACTGATTCTGGGAAGTTCTTTGCCGCTCCCTGGTGGGGATATAGGGAGGATCATCTGTTTCAGCCTTTTCGGCAAAGTTGTTCAGAGTGGACACCCCAGTTCCTGCCCGCAGTGTTCTTCTTAAAGAGAGATTTGGGGGAGAGTATAGTGTTGTGGGATACAGTGGGGCTGCAGGACAGTGACACTGTCAACACCACTGGAAGCCATGGAAGGGCTTGGGGCGTTTCCGACCACTTCCAACCTTCCCGTGCCCTGGTGTCCATGCTTAGTAAAGAAACTGTCTGAAGCACCCTGCCTGGGCTAGAGACTCAAGGGACACCAGGTCTCAGCGACTAGGTGACAGCAGAGGCCAGAGGGGAGCAGGCAATGGCAGGAAGGGTGGCGGCCATGAGGCCATTCTCAGGCAGCAAATGGCAGCACTCTGCAGGTCAGACAAGCCTTAGACCAAGGGACACTGAGCAGGGAGAATCTTCTTCCTATGGCCAATGGCTCGCCTGACATCACCAGAGATGATGAGGCCCACAAGCTGCTCTAGAGGTCTAGGGTCCATGTCCCTGCAGGCAGGCAGAGTGGTCACTGTACTTGGCTCTGAGGTTCAGTTCCTACCTGCTGTGACATGGATAATCTGGGTCCCCCATATCTCCCACTGCCAAAAGGGGCCATCATGCCCTGAACTTGGGAGGATGAAAGACACAAACTTGTGTCAGATCCATGAGCGAGCAGAGAGGGAGACAAGGCCACCTTAGGCCCTGCCAAGGGACAATCACGACCTTACCTTTTTATAGACAAGGGAACAGAGATTGAGGTAAGTGACTAGCAAAGGCCACACCACGAGAAAGCCAGCAGGAGGTCTTGAAAACACCTGCTGGGCTCAGTCCTCATTGGAGACAAGGTGGGGACAGGCTGCAGAGTGGGTCCATAAAAATGGGTCAGGGAGCTGGGAGGGGGGGTAGAGCCTGCACCCACTGGGACACATACCACACACCTTGAAGATGCCACAGTTGCTGAAAGATATTTACTATTGTTTGGTCCTTTCTTTAGCATCCCCCACCCCCAAAATAAGTCACCCACACCCGAAAAATAAGTCCTCTTGTACAAGTCTTTCTCAGGGTGTCAGGATGAGTAGCCGGGGGCCAGCCAGGATGCTAGGCCACAGAAGCGCTGGGGTACCAGGTTGGTCCTGCGGAGATTCAGTTCTGAGGCAAAGGTCCTTGCTTTTTGGTAGAAGAAGAGGGACATCTCCCGGTCCATGAGGAAGTGGTGGTAGATGGTGGCCAAGCGTGTGTAAATCTTCAGCTGAGCTTTCTTATGGCCCAGGTCCACAGCCGCTGCCAGTGCCAGCTGGTAGTACCCAGCTGCATCAAAGGGGTCCTGCGGGTAGATGTGTTTAACTGGGATTTAGCTGACTCGCTGCCATGGGGTGGGGGGCGGTAAGTGGGGAGGGTACCTGAAGCAACCCCCAAGGGCTACACTACACCAGGGTACACCCACCCAAAATGGTTGACCCATAGGTCATATCAGGTTGCTATGAGGACATCCCATCTTTTCCCATCACAGTCACAACTTAGCCTCTTTCCCCAACAGGGCTAGAGTTTTCTGGTCCTTGTCTTTGAACATTGTTTTTGTAAAACTGTCCCAGCAAAGGACACACCAGCTTGGGGGCTAGCTCAGAACAGCAGCAGGTCTATCCTACCCCAGCAATCCAGGAGGCCAGGAACAGCTTTATGGCTGCCCCCAGGTCCTCCTTGTGCACACATCTGTGCCCCTTTTCTGAAGCTCCCTCCTTCCTCCAGACTCCAGAACCTCAGGCCTTGACTTGTCATGGTTTCTGCTTCTCTCCTGAGCCTCCTGGCTGCCTGGATCTTACTGTGCCTCACCCCTAGTCATTCCAGAGGGTTGTATGATAGATACCTTCTTTGGAGGAGGTGGATCCCCTGGGACTTCAGAGCCTCCCTGACTCTGAGGGTTTCCTGGCCCATGTCCCTGGGAACTAAGGCGAGGTGTGATACACCCCTCTCCCAGGTCAAGAGCATCTTTGCCTCGAACTCAACATCCCAGTAGGATGCAAACTCCCTCTGGACTCACCCCACCGGAGTCTCCCACCCTAGCTTCTTTCGGAGGTCTCTAAAAGAGTGAACTGAGGGGCTTCCTGAGACCCCACCCAGTCTGCCTCCCCTTGTTCAGCATTTATGACAGTTTCCTTGGCTAACAACAAAGTCCAAGATCTACTTGTACCAGCCCCACAGAGCCAGTACGCGAGAACAGAGCAGAGTGGGCCATGTACGGTGGTGGGCACTCCTCACCCTGGGCTCCGCACATGGCCCACTCCTCCCTGGCTATCGCTGGGACAGGAGGAAGCATGGGGGTACTGCATCTCAGGGGGAATAGAAGCTCTGGAGGAAAGGTCACCCAGCTAAGCGGGAAGAAGAATTGAAGCATGTGTGTCTGCATATGTGTGTGGCAGCTCAGATTCACACATGGACCTGGAGCTATGACTAGCAAAGACTCAGAAAGGGAGCCAATGATCGGTATACCCCTTCTGGAACCTCAATTTCCTTCACTGTGAGGCAGATGATGAGGACTGAAAATGCCACAGAATTCAATAAGGACTTGTGGGGAAAGGCTGGTACTCCTGCTAGGCTTCCTGGAAGAAGCATCAGGATGTGGGTTGGATTCTGCAATGTGAGTCTCAGGGGCCAATGCTCATAAATGTCCTTGTCCCTTTATGTTCTTTTTGGGGGTCACCACATTCAGGAAGTTCTCTAACTCCTTTTCCACTGCTGGTATACAGTAACCCTGTGTCCTTTACTTGTTACCTGAGAGGGCCAAGCCTGACCAGCACAAGAAACTAGCCCTGTGTGCTGACCTTGCTGGTTTCTCACAGCTGGGGCTTGCTCCCTGAGGACGTGAGGCCATTGAGGGGCAGCAATGACTGTAAGTGCAGACCTCACACTCAGGAGAGCAAGGACTCGACCCCAGGTGGAGCCCCTTCTTGCCCACCTTCAGGTCATAGAAGATGATGTCACCCAGCACCAGGTACACCTTCACATAGTACAGGGTCTCCTCGTCGAATTCCAGGGGTGAGTTGCAGAGTGACAGAGCCTTGAGGAAGAAGTGCTCAGCCAGCTCTCCGTGGCCCAGCCGGTGGTGCAGGGTGGCCAGCCGGTGGTAGGCCACGCGCTCATTCAGGCGGTCACCTGGGGATGCAGGTGGAGGGGCAGGGGTGAGGACACTGCCCAGTGGGGCAGGCATGGCATGAGCCAGTCGGGGGGTGGGAGAGCATGCGTGTAAATGCAGCAGCACATCACGGCAGCTGTGGACACTCACAGCTTTGAACCAGGCTGCTCTAGCCACATCTTCCCTGTCCCTGGACTCATTTTGTCAGCTGTAAAGTGAGCTAATGACAGTAGTTCCCTTTCTGTTTCCATATCTGGCAAAGCTTCAGGCTCACATGCCCCCTTTTGTGTCTACATGGAGCTGCCTGGGGAGGGGGTGCCTTCAGTCAGGCCCGACCGTGATCTATACATTCTCAGGCACAGGGCTCAGTGACTGGCTGTGGCTGCTGCCTTATATGCTCAGCACAGTCTGGCACTTTAGGGAGCCATGCTTAGAGCCCCAGGCTTAGCCTTGCAGACAGGGAACCTGCGTGGGTGGGCTCGAGTGCCAGTTCATGGAGCACATACTCAGTGCTCTGAGTTCAGCTGCATTCCTCCTGCAGGCCTGAGGCCCCACTCGGGGCTCCCTCCTGGGAGGAGCACAGACACCCAGTCAGTGGCTCAGTGTTGGGGAGAAGGAAGCCTAGCACTAAGCAACAGGTTGCAGACAGGTGAGGACAGGAGAGGGGGGAAGGGACATGGGAGAGGACAGCATATACAAGTCCACCTGTGTGGAAGGCAGCTGGCCAGCATTTGGTGCAGCAAGAGAAAGCAGCAGAGAAAGCCTCAGAGCTCTCTTGCCCTTACGTCCCTGCCTGCTCTGTGCTCGGCCAGGGCTAGGTCCTGCCAGCTCGGCAGAGCCGCTGTGGGCTTCAGCCAGCCTGCGCAGGAGATGGGAGACACTGAGCAATGTCTGCTCTGCTCGCGGTCCTGGAACTGGAGATTTAGGAGGATGGAGTGCAGAGCAGGACACGAGACTGGGGACTCACCTAGGGTGATGCTGAGTCCTAGGGCCTCATGGGCGAACTCCAGGCCCTCCTGGGGTGCTTCCAGTGCAGACAGAAGGGCCACCAGCTTGTTGCACAGGCGCAGCTCTGCCTCTTGGTCCCCTACGGTCACAGCCAGGGGCAGTGCCCGGTCCTGTCCACATATTGAGATTAGGCTTCTGCAGCGCCCACCATGCAATACCTCCTGGGACCACATATGTGCAAGGAACTGCCACCATCCCCCACTGTGTGGTCTTTTCATGGGACTGAGGATGGTTCTGTCCTGAGACCTCAGGCTGGGATGTCACTAGTCAACTACATCTTCAGCCCCAGCACAGCCTGTGCCTCTCTGCCCAGAAGACAGGGCTTAAGCGGGACAATCAAGTACTTTACTAAAATGCATGACATGTGAGCTCAGAGTCAGCTGTACACTGTGAGCCATGAGGACAGAGGAGAAGCCATGGCACCCTATGTGACCTTTTACACATGCCTAGGCCTCTCGAAGCCCAGCTTCTATATCTGTAAGGTGACAGGATTTCCTAACCAGGGCTGCTTCAGATATTAGCACGAGGCATATACCGTACTTTACAGAGGACTAAAGATCACTCTAGGAAAGCTAGCTACACCACCACTCCCTATCTCCAGGTGGGAAGCCTAGGCCTACGGTGGCCACTCACCCGGTAGAAAGATACAGCTTTTTCCCGCTCCCAGGTGCCATTGAAGAAGATGTCCCCAGCCGCCTCAAACAGCTCCAGCCCCAGCTTGGGGTCCCCTGTACACAGGGCCGCGTTCTGTGCCACCTGTAAGGACCAGAAGTTCTCTGGAGATAGTGCCACCTGGGGTGGTCATGCCTCCGAGATGGGCGGCCTCACACTTGGAGGCGCCAGTCTTTCCGTGTCTGTGTGTTTGTGGCTCTGAGAAGAGCAACCTTCAGGACCTGAGAGCCAGGAAGTGTCGGTTCAGCTGTAGCCCAAGAGTCCAGCAGGTGTGGGCTGCCCAGGTGAGCATGGAACAACTGAGACCTGGACTCTGGCCTGCCCACCATGTTGGAATCACAGCTCCCTGCCCCTACATTGCCTGTGGCTGCCACCACATCCTGCTTCTTCCTAACCCATCCATGCCCACCTTCTCGCCCATCAGTGCCACAAGGCAGGGCCTGAGGCTGCGGCTTCCCTGCTGTGTCCAGGGATTCCTGCAATGCCTGGTGCATAGTAGACGCCCAACAAACACCTGCTCAGTAATAAGACTAAATCTACTCACTTTCTAGCTTCTAGCTTGGACCTTAATATTCTCTTCCAGCAGGTGGCGCTAGCTCACCATCCTGACTCAAAGCTCAGGCTCAGCCGGCCCTCTCCATGGAGCTGCCTGCCACAGCCCATGGACCCTCTGAGCCCTGGGCCCCTTCCTTGATCCTAGATCCTCAGTGCACAGAGCTGCTCCTGTGCTCCTTATCTGTACAGATCACACTGTGTTTGGGAAGCATCACAGCTTCTATGATAAACATGTTTTGAAGTAAATGGACCATGAGCTGCCGAAGCAAGTCCTTCTGTGCAGCGTGGACACAGCATCCTTATACACACTGAGCACTTGCTATGTACTGACAAAAGATGGGTACTGTGAGGAGCCCGCCCTCTGCCCAGGGAGCTCAGATGGTTGTCAGATAGTCTGGGCACTGAAGGAGACTGAGGGAGCCAGAGTGGGAGGCAGGCCCCTGGGATCCCGTAGGTACTCAACAGTGATGGATGAGCAGATGGACAGTAGATGGACAGATGAGTGAACAGGTGGGTAGACAGGTGGATGTGTGGGCAAGGAGTGAGGGGCAGGGAGATGGATGAATGGGTGAGTGAGTAAATGGGTAGGTTGAGAGGGTAGATGGGTGGATATATGATTGATTGTGGATGGGTAGGTGGATGGGTAGGTGGGTGGACAGGTAAATGGGTAGGTGAGTGGGTAGTTAGGTGGGTAGATGGGTATCCATGAATGGATAGTTAGGCAGGTAGATGGTGGGTGAGATGCGTAGTTAGGTGGGTAGATAATGGGTGAGGTGGGTAGTTAGGTGGGTAGTCCATAAGTGGGTAGTTAGGCAGGTAGATGGTGGGTAAGATGGGTAGTTAGGTGGGTAGACAGGTGGTTGGGGGTAGATGAGTGGTAGTTAGGTGGTAGTTAGACAAGCAAGCCAGTGCACCCTGATGGCCCTGAGCGCACCTGGATGTACAAGTCCACCAGCTCATTCTGGCGCAGGATATAGTAGATCTTGCCGGCCTGCAGCCAGGCACGCGCCTCCTTCTCCTTCTGCTGCAGGTCAATGAAAATCCCCAGGCTCCGTTTGGTGTAATCCAGAGCAGACTTGTAGGCCCTGGGGTCAGACACAGGCATCAGAATAGAATCTGCCTCCAGAATGGTCTGCAAAGTCAGGACCTGAGGGGATCCTCTGTGGGCAGCATCCTGTCCTGCCCCAGGCACCCCAACACAGCATGGAAAGACAAGGGGAATTCTTCAGAGGGAAGACAGCAGCTTCCCTGTGTATAAGTAACCCTATACACAGGCTGAATCCAGTCTGTAATGGCTAACAACTTGACACAAGCTAGAGTCATTAGGAAACAGGAATCTCACTTGAGAGTATGTCCCCGCCAGGCTAGCCTGTGAGCAAACCAGCAACATGCTTTCTTGATTGATGACTGATGTGTGAGGGCCCAGACCATGGCGGGTGGTGCCATCCCTGGGCTGGTGGTTCTGGCTCTAGGAGAAGGCAGGTAAGCAGCACCTTCCATGGCCTCTGCATCAGCTCCTGCCTCCAGCTTCCTGCCCTGTTTTGAGTTCTTGCCCTGACTTCTCAGTGAGAGGCTATGATATGGAAGTATAAATGGAAATAAACCCTCTCCCCTTCAAGTTGCTTGTAGTCATAGTGTTTTAGGGGCTGGAGAGATGACTCAGAAGTTAAGAGCACGAACTGCTCTTCCAGAGGGCCCGGGTTCAATTCCCAGCACCCACATGGCAGCTCACAACTGTAACTCCAGTTCCAAGAGATCTGGCACCCATGGCAAAACGCCAATGCACATAAAATAAAAATAAACAAACCCTAACTAAGACACAGCCTCTGTCTTTTCTGGATACTAGGGAGACATTGGCATAGGGCAGAATTCACATCTTAGGCTGGGTTTCTCAAACTGTACACACGGCAGTGGCACAGAGGAGGCTCTCAGCAGTCACTGTCCCTGCTCTGAGTTTCTGACCTGAGGCCTGGCCTGGGCTCAGCACCTCCAACAAGCTCCCAGGGAGATGGACAGCAGTCCAGGGGCATATTCCCGAAGGGTTGCTCTAGGCCGCTAGCCCACTGCTCCTGCAGTGAGTTCTATGTTGGGACAGGAGCATCTCAGGCTCTTCCCTCCTTCAGTATCCCTGCCTTAGAGGAGGTGTCTGTTGAGGATTTTGCCAGCTTTCAGGCTACCCAGAACGTCATTGTTGGTCACACCTTAAACATGACCCCGAGATCTGGCTCCAGGGAAGTTGGCTCTGCCCTCTATGGTGAGAAGCCTGAAGAACATGTGGCCACCACCATATGTCTGGCAGGTGAATGACACCCAGCTGCCCTAGTCCCAGAATGACAACTAAAGACCAGGGGCGAGCGGAGATCAGCTCACTGCGGCAACCATAGCATGGGTGGCTTGGAAATGCCTGTAGCGGGGACCCTTGTGTAACTGAGATAGTGGGGACAGGAGGGTAGGAGGGCTAGTCCCTCACCAGAGAAGCCTATTCTGGGACTCAGATGTCATGAGTGGAATGATACCGGCCCTGAGGGGTTGGGACGTGGCTGGTTCCTGGCAGAGGAGCTCCCCCAGGCCTTCTGTGTCCCAACGCTGGTGCTCTTACCGCTCGGTGCCCAGAGACAGGTAGAGCTGGCTGATGGCCTCCAGGAGCTGACCCTCCAGCACCTTGTCAGCCGTCCTGCGCGCCAGCGCCAGCTGGAACTCATGGTAGATAACACATCGCACCTCGTTGGGCATGACCTTGCTGTAGAAGTGGCACAGCTTTTGCACAGCCTGTAACTGACCTGGGCAGGGATAGAGACAGGATGTCACTCTCCTGGCTTCATCCCCTTGGAGGCACCCCCAGGGCCTGTGTGTGGAAGGATTAAAGGTCCCAGTGTATGACTGCCTTTCCTTTACTTCCATGAGTCAGGTCCTCAAAAATGGGGATACTGAGCCCAGAGCCAGGCTATGTAGTCTGTAGAATAGCATGCCACGATGTTTCCATTAGTTGACATACCAGGGAAGCCTGCAGATAGTGCTGGCCATTCCAGCCAGTCCAGGTGCTTGCCCTGGTCCACACCTTTTGTCTGTCTCACCACACTCTCCCCACCTCCACCCTAGCCTAGCGACCAGGGAAATAGCAGCTCAATACAACTGGACACATGGATAGTCCACAGCCAGCATCCTCCCTGGAGCCTGCCACAAGAATAATGGATTTAGCCTAGCCCAGGCACCCACAAGCCTGTGCTTCATTCAGGAGGCCAGGCTCCAAGACATGGCTCGTTGGGCTATCCCAAAGCCAGTGAGGGGCTGGGAGCCATGTGGCACCCCCAACTGTGAAGAAAACACAGAAATCAACACTCAGGCAGAAGGCCTAAGCCATAAGCCAGCCTGACCTCAAGGGCTTCTTAAGGGCTCATGAAGCAGTCTCTAAAGACACACACTGGCCAAGCTTCAGTAAATGCAAAAGGATGGAAGTCATAAGGAAGGTGTTCTTCAGCTGTACAGCAACAAAGCTGAACCACAGAAGAAGTTCAGGGCCAGGCTGGGCGACTTAGTGAGACCTCATCTATTGTAAAAGGCAAAAGAAGGCTGGGAATACAGAAAGGTTACAGAGCATTGGTCTAGCATGCATGGGGCCCTAGGATGGTTCCCAGTCCCGCTGAACAGACAGACAGACAAATCAATAACATCAGAAAATTTGGTGCGTTCACAGATATATGAAAGTAATCTGCCCATGCCTGAATAGCCAGAGGTTAAAGGAAGAGACACAGGGAAACAAAAGCATAGAAGTTTAAGGGATGATTGGGGTGGAGACTTGGCTCAACGGTCAAGAGCATTGGTTTCTCTTGCAGAATACCTGGGCTGATTCCTAGCATCCATATGGTGCCTCACAACCACCTGTAACTCTAGTGCCCAGGCACCTGATACCCTTTGGGGTACCAGGCACACATGAGCTACACAGATATATATGAAACAAAACACTCATACAATATAATAATAATAATAATAATAATAATAATAATAATAATAATAATAATAGAAAGTTAAAGGATGTTGAAAAGCAGAGCTGAGGGGGAAACTTATAGCTGTGAATGCTTTTGATGGAGATGGCAGGGATGGGGAGAAGTGGGGAGAAGGTGAAGGTGAGAAGGGAGGAAGGGAAAGGAAAGAAGGGGTACAGTGAGACAGGGAGGAGAGAAGGGAAGAGGGGGGGGGAGGAGGAAAACCCTCAAACCTCAACTCCCATCTTACTGAGCTAATACGTAGCAGATATGATGCTGGTGAGGGCAGGCCAGCGGTGGAGGAAACTCACAAAGCCAAAGTTTGATGCTTTGAAAACCTCGACAGAATCATAAACCTTTCGCCAGCCTGGCCAAGAAAAAGAGGCTGCAAATTTCTAAACCCAGAAGAGAGGGTGCACACTGCTGACAGTCTTGTGGAAAGGACAGACTGCCGTGAACCACTGCCCCTCAACACACCAGAACACTTTCCAGAAAGACACACTGCACCAACACTGGCTCAACGATGACCTGGCCTGTGGCCCCGGTGTTATCCCTCAGCCTCCCAGGGGAGGAGGGACACATACGGCTAGGCCCTCTGCTGCTGCTGTCCGAGTTTGAGGTATCTGGGGAGGCCTGGCAGGGATCGGCTCGTGGCTCTGTGGCCATGTTGCTGAGGCTGTGGAAATCTGGCCCACAGAGGGAGGATGTAACCTGAGACTTCCCTGAGTCCCTTTCATACCAGAATCTGTCCTGCCAATTCCTTACCTATTGGACCCTGTTCCCTCCTTGGCTCCCTCCACACAACTGTGTCCGTGAGACCTCAAGTGTGGGTTAGGTCTCTGCTGGGAACAGACTCTAGGCAGATTCACCTATTCTGTCTTCCCCACAGTCATAGCGGGTGTTCAGTTGCACTTGATGACTCTCCAGTCCTCTTAGTAAAGGGACAAATCATGGGCAGGGTTTCCTGGTCCATGCTTAGCACCCCAGCCAAGGCTTCCCATCCAATACTGCAAAGTGCATGGGTTCAGTCACCCTGTTCTAGGTGCCTTACCCAGCACTCCCTGCTTGTCTCAATTCTCCAGTCTTAGACCAAAGAAACATCCGCCAGCCACAGGACGGAATAGAGCTGCCTGTGAGCACATGGATCACCCTCTCTAAGGCTGTTCTTACCCGGCCATCGGTTTTCTGTTCAGCTCCAGACCCCAGCAAGAACAACATGGTCTCACTTGTGATGGGGCTGGGATCACACCTGTACAAGGTCCCTGTGGGTGAATTTGATCTGCTGTAAAGTTCTGATGACTTCTAGGAAGAGGCCATGGGAGGCGTTCAGGGCTGCAGACAACGTACCTGGAGGTCTGGTTCACAGAACCCCAGGCTTGTGTTAGCTCAGTGTTCTAAGGTAACCTCTATTCTGGTGCTGGGGCAAGGGTGTGGAGTCCTTAGAGCAAGGTACTTTCGGTTCACTCCCTGTGTCATTATACCTAGCCCAGCACAGGAAGAGGCTGCATCAAAGATGGTGGTGAACATCTCCAGGTTTCTACTACCTGGAGGACAAATAGCCTCCGTCCTCTGCCTCCCACCCCAGGGTACTCTGAATAAGGAACGACACATAGACCCCAGGAGGTGTGGAGAGGGGACAAGGGTGGTACTTACTCTCCAGATGGTCCATTTCCACAGCCACCAGAAAGGCCCACTCGTAGTAGCACTTGGCCTGCTGGGAGAGGGCCCGGCGGGTGCACAGTTGGCCCAACCACAGGAGAACCTGGGTGAAGTCCCGGCCACACACACCACTGGGCAGCTGGGAGAAGAGCCCCACAGCCTCCCGCAGGTAGTGTTGTGCCAAGCTGCGGGCACCAGCTTGCAGACACAGGGCCCCAAAGTTAGCCAGGACTACTGCCTGGCTCTGCAGGTGGCCCTGGCTGTAGGCCATGTGCAGAGCTCGGAAGTAGCCTTCAGCAGCCTGTCGGGTCCTGCCCATCCTCTTCAGAGCCATGGCTACCATGTTGGTCATCACACACTCCTGGGCCTTGTTGGCCACGGCTGCATCTGAAATGGATTTCAGGATGTCCATGGCTATTACGCTCTTCCCACAAAGCATGTGCAGCCAGGCAAGTGCTACCAAGCGGTCCACGACAGCGTGGATCCCAGCTGCCGTGTCAGCTTCTGCAGCCTGAGACATGAAGGCAATGGCCTGGCTGTGCTGCTGATGGTGGCTGTACAGCTGAGCCAGACTGGCATATAGAGGTCCACACAGTGCCCGTCCTATGCCCGGAGTGAGAGAGGCCAATGCCTGCCTGAGGTAGTAAGCAATCTGGGAGGGGAGGTGGTGGCTTGCCCTCCTTTGGCTGTTTGGCCCAGGAGCATTCTGGAGTACCAGGTCCACGCTCCTCAAGGAGCCGGCCAATGAGCACCTAGTCCACAGTGAGGACACCCTGATGCAGCTCAGTGCCAGGTGGGGCAGGCACTTCCGGCCATAGATGTCTGCCAGAAGCAGGTAACAGTCCTCAGGCCATGAGGCCTGTGGGGTCCCCACATCCCTGTTGAGGCGAAGCAGTCTCTCCAGGTAGGGCAGTGCCTCCTCAGGCTGCTTGAGGTGGGAGTAGTGCCTGGCCAGCAGGAAGCAGGCCCGGGCTTCGGCCTGGGGGCTGAGGCCACAGATGGCCCTGCGCAGTGCGTACTTCAGGAGCTCGGCGTCTGTGTTACACGCGTGGCCCGGTGTCCCGAGGAGAAGGGCTGAGGCTTTGGGTGCCACCTGTAAACACTTCTCCCCGTTCTTCTGCTTTAAGTACACAGTAGCCAGGCTGGTATACACTGCTGCCACCAGGAAGAGGTCCCCAAAACTGCCCTCTAGAGCTCCCAGAGCTTCTTCAAAGTACACCCGGGCCTGGGATAGCTTCAGTTTACGGGCACACAGTCGCCCCAGCAGGAGGCAGAGCCTGGCCAAGGCCATGCCCAAATTGACTTTCTTGGCAACTCCTCGGGCTTGTGCCAAGCGTCCAGCCAACTCCTCTTCATCGTCAAAGCCACAGAGGACAGTGCTCAGCCAGGGAAGTGAGATGTCATACAGGCCCCGGAAGTGGGCTTCGTAACCAGGGGCGTTCAGGACCTGCAGCAGTGAGTCCAGAGGCTCAGGATCTGTCCAGTCATCTTCAGGATCCAGGCAGAAGGGGGGCTCCTCACTGTCAGCTGAACTCACTCTGCTGGACACTGCTCCCAGGCTCTGGGCTATTGGGTCTTCAAGGTGGTCGGGGCAAGCCTTGCACCGTTCTAGAATGTCCTTTACCATGTGCAGCGTCTCGTGTGGTTCTGGGTTCAGGCGAGACAGAGTCATTTCTAGAAGTCACAGAAGGTGCAGTTGGATTAGTTTTAAGCCCGAGTCCTAACTTTACCTGTGTGATATCCTCCATCTCTGCCCCACCCACTATTCCCCTAGCTTCAGATTCTGGATGACACTGTCCCACCTGGATTCCAGAGCACTGGAGACTGAATCAGGGTCAGTCCAGATGGCTCTTGTCAGCTTTCCTACCCAGCAGCCCCCTCTCTTTGACCTGCTCATGGACAGCAGAGTTTTCAGAGGCCCTGCTTGTCAGAGGATAGGGATGAATTGTAGACAGTTTCTCTTTAGAAAGAATGAAAAGCTACCTAAACACCTGGCCCACAGCAAGAGTCCAGTCACAGGTGTGTGATTCTGCAGATCCCTCAGACTCTAGAAGCCATGAAATCCCTGACAGCCATTGGCACAACTAATCAGCATGGGCTCAAAGGCTGCCATATAAAATAGGCAAAGTTAACCAGGCTGTAGGAGTCATAGCTCAGTGACGAACAGTGTATCCAGAATGCATGTGGCCTGGGTTCAGTACTCAACAACAACAACAACAACACACACACACACACACACACGAGAAGGTAGACAAAACCAATGACAATGAGGACAGGGATGCTGGTCACTGGCCTCAGTTTTATTACTCAGTCAACCGGGTGGTGGTGGCACACACCTTTGCTCCCAGCACTCAGAAGGCAGAGACAGACTGGTCTCTGAGTTCAAAGCTATCCTGATCTACAGAGTGAGTTCCAAGACAGCCAAAACTACACAGAGAAACCCTGTCTTGAAAAATCAAAACAAACAAACAAAAAAAGAGAGCGAGAAAGGGACAGTCTCCTTGGGGAATGACCCCAGGGAAGGGTCACAGATTGGCCACTGAGCACAATCTATCACCATCTGCTAGCAGGACCTTGGCCTCAGATGGGCTCAGATCCAAAGTCATACCCCTCCATGGGCCAGAGCAGACACTTGTTTCTCCTGGGAAAACACAAGCTTAACACAGAGTCATTTGGGAGGAAATGAATGAACAAAGGCTCTGGAGCTCCTCCACTGGGATAAAAGAGCCTCTTTGCTCTCAAGTTTGAAAGTTAAAATATGCTCAAAACATGGGCTGGAGAGATAACTCCGTAGTTAGGAGCACCTGTGGCTCCTCCAGAGGCTTGGTTCCCTGCACACATGGAATCTCATAACCATCTTTAATTCCAGTTACAGTGGGGAGTCCAGTGCCCTTTTCTGTCCTCCATAGGCAGAGGAACACACATGTCTGGTATATACACACATGCAAACAAACACTTAGACACACACAAAAAATAAATAAATAAATCTTTTCTAAAAATATGCTCACACAATCTGAAGTCAGGCATGTCAGTGCACACTTACGGTTCCAGCACTTGGGAAGCAGGAGGAAGAAAAAGTGTTCAAGTTTCTCTTTTGCTCCATAGTGTGTTTGAGGCCAGCCTGAGACCACTATCTAAAATTTTTATTTAAATCTATCTCTTTACTATTCTGTAAAGCCTTAGAACAGACCTGAGGCTATTGGATTGGTTAAGAAATCCTGGGCAGAGGACAGGCTACTGGGGAGAAAGCTGCTCCATCCTCACCTGCCTCTGCTCGCTGAACCCAGAGCAGGAGGCCTGGGGCCCATTTCATCAGTACCAGCCTCCTCCTGGCCCTCTTGCTTGAATCCCACTTAAGCTTAGATGGGTCCATTGCTGGGGAAAATCCCAAGATCCTGAGGGGCTCAAATTCTAGATTACCTGTTTAGACCCTCTAGGGAAAAAGATGGAGCGATGGGAAGGGCATTCCGGAATGGGCCCCAAGAGGGAGGGACCTGTAAGGTTAAGTTGTGGTGGACTTTCTCTTCAACCCCTAACCAATGGGCCCTCAGTGGAAAATCTGGGTGATTGCATCTGGTCTTGAAAAGGAACCCACAGCAGCATGGGCTGGAACAAGGTGAGAGGGATGCCCAGCCTTCTTGGGAGGTCCTGATGAGGCCATGCATCTACAGGAAGAGATCTGGGTCCCCAAGGTTTGCACAGGTGCAATAAAGGAGCTCCAGGGCACCCATCCTACAATCCCCCACATTCTGCAGAGGCATGGCATTGGTGCTGAGTGCCCATGGTGCCCCCATACTGCTGCCTCTGCCCTGTGTTCACACCTGGTACCTGAGACTCAGCCAAGAGTGGAGGAACCTGAGCCGCAGGGTGGCACCTACCTCGTTGCTCCAGATGCTCACCCTCAGCTTCTTCTAACCAGTCTAGGAAAGGGAAAAGAGAAGCAGTCACTCCTCCGCCTGCACCCTGCATCCTGCCTCATGCGGCCAGGTGAATGCAAGCTCTCCAGTCACTAGCGCCTACAATGGCCAGGGCCAGAGAATCCATGTTCTCAGATGTCTCCAGGCAATGATGGAGCACATGTCTAGCCCTGGTGTCCCCATCCCCACACATCCTACTGAGGGTGCCTGGGATCCTTGTCAGCTCCATGACAAGAGGGGCACAGACAGCTGCGGAACAAACTGGGCTGGGTCTCCCCTCTGCTGATTGCTCTTCACCCAGGTGGCACTGGCACCTCATTCCTACCTCCTTGGGTTGGCACTAACTGCCTGCTGGAATGCTATAGCAACCAAATAAGGAAAAGATCTGAAGAAAACATATAAAAACCAGGAAGTTATAACATCAGACAAAACTTTGAGGCTTGTCTAGCGAAGAGCCTTTGGTAGTTCTGGCCCTGGGATTCAACAACCTTGGAGCCAGTTCTGTCTAGAGCTGGGTAAAAGGAATCTGTCGGGCACTGGCAGAGGAGCCAACCCCATGTGCTGGTAAGGGTCAGATCACAATGGGGTCCCCAGGCTGTCCTACCCTCAGAAACTAAGGGTTCAGGTGTGTCACCTGGTTTCCTCTGCAGCTAGGGCCTCAGGACTGCCTTCTGGGTTGCCTGCACCCAGCCCTGAGGGCACATTCTTGGCTTGCCTTTCTTTGCTCCCTGGTAGACTTTCACTGCTTCTTTGAGGATGTCCCAAGAGAGGTGGTGTAGTTGGAAAGAGAGGGGAGGAGAGAACCCCTAGGGAGCTTAGAAAGAGCCAGAAGCATCCAACCAGCATCCAGCTCTCTTGGGACTAAGGCACCTAGCTCTCTTGGGTACATGAACCCAGCCCTAGCAAGGCAAAGTGCAACCATCACGTGTGGCCTTAACCAGACCACTGGACTCCACCCAGCTGCAAAGCATTTGGACCACACCCTTCAGAGAAGTTCCTGCTCTTCCAGGAATCTGCCCTGGGAAGACTCCAGGTTAATCTGACTCAGAAAAGTTTTTATGTCTCCCCAGCTCACAGAGAGAACAGAGGTACCACACACTCCCTGTACCTACCCAGGCTGCATGTGGTACACACATCTGTGCCAGATGTTCTGCTCAGGAGCCGCCGAGCATCCTCATCTGAGAAATGGCCCTCTCTGCGGAAGAATGATCTTTCTTCCTCACTAAGGAAAAGTGCACTTTCCAGACTAGAGAGACAGAAAAAAAAAGTCCACAATTAGAAGAACTAATTCAAAGTCCAGGAGGCCCCAGGGAGAGTGGGCAGAAGGAGCCTGGCCAATGGAGTCGCTCGCCTTCAGGCTCGCCTTCAGGTTAACTGAGTTTACTGTCATTCCAGGACTCTGGAACAGAGCCATGGGTCAGCTGAGCACCTGTAAGAGCCAGATGGCTTCACTCCACTGCATTTCCTACCTCACTGAGGACACTGCCCCCTGGGAGCTGTGTTCTCTTTGTAGGATGGAACTGTCCAGATCCAGGAAACAGGATCAGCAGCTGTGTATCTCTACAGCTAAACTTTGGGAGGATGTTTTTGTTTGTTTGTTTGTTTGTTTGTTTGTTTGTTTGTTTTAAACAAAAGTCAAAATTTCACAGTAAGACCCATTTCTTCTCCCTCATTTAACTGCTGGGCCCACTCAACTGCTGAGACACCAAATATACACAAAGCCTTCCTGCCTGGTGGTGGTGGCTTTTAATCCCAGCACTTGGGCGGCAGAGGCAGGAGGATCTCTGAGTTCGAGGCCAGCTTAGTCAACAGCATGAGTTCTAGGACAGTTAGGGTTGCACAGAGGAACCCTGTCTCGGCAACAAACAAACAAACAACAACACCCAAAACCCAAGAGGACCCTTGTTAGGTCCAAGATTAAGAAAGACTAAGTGAACAGGAGAAACAGCTCAGAAATTAAGAGTACTTGCTACTCTTGTAGAGGATCTCTGAGTTTGCCTCCTAGACACAACCATCTATAACTCCAGTTCCAGGGGATCTGATGCTCTCTTCTGTTCAAACACCCATTTGGTGCATAGACTGACATACACACAGGCAAAACACTCACACACATAAAATAAAATAATCTCTCATTTTTTTAAAAAAGAGATTTAGATTATAAAGGTCCTGGGAAGGTGAGTGCCTGGGCAGATTCTTAAGCCCCACTTGAACCGTCCCCTGTGAAGCCACCATTCTTCCCACAGTACCTAACACAAGGACAGGGCTCATGTGGCCATGAAACCAGGCAGAGGACACAGAGAGGGACAGAGGGACAAAGGGAAGAGCGAGGGAGGGAGGTATTTTGCCTTTAGGACTAAGTTAGCAGGGAAATGTGAAACTTTAAAATGCACCTTCTATAGACCAAGGAAACCACAGCCCAGCCCAGCCCTTGGCCTCCTCGGGCCTCTGAAGGCTGTGGGGAAGGAGGGAGGCGGGTGACACAGGGAGTGTGAGCCGCTCTCGGTGGTCATCTTTGGCTGTAAACAGGATGTGAACAGGTAGAGATGTGAATTTTTTGAGTTTTGACACTCACCCTTGGCTTATACATGAGATCCTGGCTTTAAGAGCCAACTACTGCAAAGGTGTAAAGGTCTGTGACTTGCAAAACTCATTCTCAGAGGGTCTGGAGACAAATGGAAGGGGGGGGGGAGAAAAAGGAGACGAAGCAACCAAGGTGAGAAGCTGGCTTCAGCCATGAGCTGGTAAGGGATGGATGCTGCTGTCTGCTCCTGCCTTCTCTGTCTCAGATTACATCAAGAGAGAAAAAAAAGAAGAACCTCTGGGCTGTTCCCAAGGTGGGAGCCCCCAGGTTTAAGGCAGGAGAAATGCCAGAAAATATTTGAGTGACAGAGAAATGGATACAGTCCCTTGCTGTGAAAGATGATGCCAACACCCCCAACGCTCCAGGGAGACAGGGGAAAATGGACCAGAACCCAGCTCTTCCAGCCCAGAACCACCAAAGCCACTAGGATCCCACATCTGCCAAGAGGCCAGGGACGGAGGATGCATTGCCTGGAGAGCAGTGCCATCTCTGTATTGAGAGACCAAGGACCCAGCTGAGCTAATGAGGTTATCACATAAAGCGACACTGCACAACTCAGAAGGGGAGAGCCCAGAGTTCTCTGTCCCTGGAGCTGGGTGCTGAGTCTGTGGAGGTCACCCAAGGGGCGTAGATAGGCTGTGTCCCTATTCCGCATGTGTGCTGACCTTCTGATGGGGTGCTGGAAAATGCGGCTCTAAGTATGACCAGTACACAGGTCCAGCCAGTGTCTGCCTGCTCTGACTGACAGGGTTACTTTAAATCGGGGGCTAGAAGGGAGGGGACTCATACGGATGGCAGCAGCCTTAGAAACTGCATCTGAGAGTCAGCTATGGGATCCATTGGCAACAGGGCCATTGAAACATGTCCAGTTTGAGGGAGGCGTGGCTATAGAGGGGACAGGAGCAGAGGACAGGTTCTCTGCATACACCTCTATTTCCAGGCTCTTCGACTGAGGTCTTAATCAGGCCACGTCCAGGGGAAACCAGGAACTGACCAACAGTAGGCTCAGCTGGGCTCACTGGACACTCCCCGGTCACTCCCCACCACTGTCCAAATCTATACAGAGTTCATCCAGAAATGACCAGAGCACTCCTTTGGAGGTCCCCTCGGCTGGAGCAGATGCAAGCAGACAGAACAGGGCCAGGGGTTAATGATTAGGAATGGGATTACAGGCTGGCAGGGCCCCCGGAGAAGCAGGTGACAGCAAAGGGTTACCCACATCTGTTCAGAGCTGAGCTGATGGCAAGTGGACTCTGAGGCCATGGAAACCAGGTCCAGAAGCTTCACAGGGCTTTGTGTTGAAGAGGGGACATGGAGAACCCTCCAAATGCCTGTGCCCCTGGAACCTGGGAAGGCAGCCTTTGGGAATTGGGTCTTTGTGACTGTCACCAGCAAAGCTGAGACAGATAGTTGCAAGGAGGAAACAGACTTGGCTGAGGAGTCACTGGGAACTTGAAGAATCCAGTCAGAAGCCAGGGAGGCCCAGACCTGTGGGTGCTGGGCTCAGCAGGAAGGCACACTCCCCACTCCCCAGAGCCACAGCAGCTCAGCAGCTGCACCGCACGCTCCCACTGTGGAGGTTATACCTAGCAAGTGGACACTTTTCACCAAAGCATGTAGAGCTGACACTGTGAATGGACACCCTGGACAGTCACACACAACCCGCTGGTGGCAGCCTGGACGGGCTGAGTACAGTTCAGTGGAGGAGGAGAGGGAGGAACTGCCCAGGACAGTACCCAGGTGGCTCCTGAGAGGTTAATGGAGGATGGCAGCATCCCAGTAGGAGCAGTGTGGGGTTCAGGAAAGGGACCTCTGCCACTCACTCAGATGCCGGGCCCTGTATGCTGACGAGGCCAGTCCTCACAAAGCCCACCTGGCCAGAGGCCACGTGCCGGCCCACACACCAGGGCAGGCCAGGCACCTGGGCACCGATGATCTCGATGACATCCCCAACACAGAAGGACATCTCTTCGGGCCCTGAGCCCTGAAAGTCAGCTACCGCAGAGGCCAGGCCAAATCCTGAAGGGAGAAGGCCATGTGGTCAGAGCTGAGGCCCTGTGGACAGACAGGGTAGCCCTCAGGAGTCTGCTGGGCCAGAGGTGTGTGAAATGAAGCCTGCCTCCTGAGGTCTGAGGAGCTGGGTCTCTCCATTTGATCCTCATACCAGATGGGCCACCAAGGCTGAGACACTGGTGAATTCAGCCCTAGGCCACCAGCCTTCGGGAATAGGACTCGGCCTTACGCAGCTTAGACTGTGTGCACGCAGCAGGCACAGGAACCATCCAAACACCAGCAGGCTCCACAAGGGGAAGAGAAATCTGTTGCCATCCTCACCCCAAGGGCAGCCTGAAGGACCAGTTCCTCATAAGGAAGGCCCAGGACAGGGCCAGAAAACTTATCCACCCTTCATCCTGACCCACAGATTGTAGGCCAACCAGTCAGCCAAGCCTAGGATCTTCCAATGAATCAGTCTCAATGGGGTATCCTGTGAGCTCACATTCCTGGCTCTGCGGGGTGTGAGAAGAGTCCCAACACATTTCCTGAAGAGCTGGGCAATTTAGTTGGGCCCTAAACTTCTCTGAGCTTTAGCTAATTCTGAGTATTATAGAAAGGATGTCCTCTTCTGGCTTAGGGAACATTCAGAACAAACACAGAAACTTCCAGAACACTAGTCCCTGCCGTCTTCTGCCACCTCTCCCGCCGGGAGGGAAGTCTAATACTCACCCATCAGCTGGGCCTCAGGCGTCCCCGGTCTATCCATGGATTCATCGACAGGATCCCATGGGACCCTGAGAGTCCACCTGGAGTGTGGAGAAGAGGTCTGTGCCACGGTCTCAAACTGGGACAGGTGTGCCCTATAGAATGCTCAGGAGTAGCAGCCCTTCAGGATGCACAAGGATCCTGCCCCTTCTTCCACATACCTGCCAGGTGTGCGGCTGGTATGTGTGGTGCTACCCAGGCTGGGTGCCTCACCCTAGGGGGCACTGCCGCCCCTGTTACCATGAGCCATGAAGATCCCCCTACCCTCCTCCCCTGGCAAAACACGTGCCCTGCCACTCTCCTGGAGCAACCGGGGCCAGCAATTTGAAGGCCCACAGCCCAGGCAAGGATCTGGATTTCGATTCCTGGATCCTATTTGCTCTGTGGCCTGGTCAAACTGCCCCCACCTTGGGCCTCAGTTTCTCCAAAAAATCTTAGCTGATTCCTGCAGCCCCTCCTCTGTTCCAAGGTCTCAGGATGGAGATTTGAGCTTGGTACCTACTGGTGGAATGGAGTCAAGGGCTCTGGCTCGGCCTCTGCTGCTTCTGCCTTGGAGGATGTGCTGGGCATGGGGGAAGATGAGTCTGTCTCCAGGATGGCCACTCCCAGAGGGACCCCCGAAGTCCGCCTGAGGGCCTGGGAGCCCTTCCTTGCACCCTGAGGTCCCAGCGTCATTCTCACACGGTGGTCAGGACACAGAACAAAGAAGGGCCCTTTGAAAGGACAGACATGGTCAACAGGGTGACCAGCGGGGCAGTCATGGCTCTGTCCAACAGGAAAGCTGCCAGCCCTAACTTCAAGGAGACCCACAGTAAGGGCAGGGACCCTGCAGGAGCCCACTGCACCCTCTTCTTCCCACAATACCCATCTGTGGAGGCCCAAAGGAGGCCCCAACCTCACCCCCACTGACACTGTGAGGCATGCTCAGACTCACTCTGGACCTCAGTTTCCCATCTGCACTATTCAGGGACAGACATGGGATTCCCATGTCCCTTTGCGCTTCGATGTCACCAAGGAGCCTGGCCTCATCTTGGTGTCCACCCATGGCCAGGGGAGAAAAGCAGCCCTGAGATTCATTCCTTCCTGGGGACTCAAGACCCTTTTTCTATAAGGCCAACAAGCTCAGAGCAGGGGCATGGGGTCCTAGACAAAAACCCTTTCTCTCCATTCTCTTTACCCCTCTCCTCTTTGAGAGTCACATGCAGTTTTGTTAACCAGTGACAGTGTCTAGGGCACCTTATGCTACATCATGCCTCCCACCCATGACACTCCTGTGTCTAAAGCTGTCCCCCACAGTGTCCCCAGCCCCGTGAGATCTAACCACGGTCACCGTTGCTGCCCACCTTCCTGGGCGAGGAGGCTCTTGTGTGTCTGCTTCAAGGCATCCTTGCTTACATACATGAGAATGGCCGTCTCCTCCTCCTCACTGGGTGAGAGCAACCAAAAGGTCTGGTCCACCAGCAGGTTCTCCAGGCAGTGGTGCGTGAAGCCTGCAAGACCAGGTTTGACTATCAACAGGCTCCAGGAGGGGCAGAGGACCCCAAGACCTCAAATACCAGACCCAGAGAGGGCCCTGATAGGCGGTTCTTCTCCAGATTCTGTGGGTCTCTATCTTACTATCCGGGCTGTTAGGGTTATACCTGCCCACTCACTCACTACTTCATATGGCCTTGTGTCTTGGGGTTCAGAGATACCAAGAGTGCAGTGCTCTGCACACTGTGATGCCAGTGTCCTCCATGCCCACTTCCATCAATCATGTGCAGGCCTGTGGGATGCTGGGTGTCACTGCCCGCATAGGGACCATCCATCCTGTTATCAAGGACTGCTTAGCTGGGAGGCCTGGCCTCACTCCCTTTATAAAGTCAGGGCAAATGCTGAGAGAACCCTTCATTTACAAATGTCAGCGGACACGGAGGACAGGAACTAAACAGGCTACTTTTTTCTGGACGGCAAAGTCCCTGACTGGTACCTAGAGAGTATCCAAAGGCCAAGCTGACCGATATGAGACTGAACAATGCAGCAGCTTCTGGTGACTCCTCCCTGCCTGCCTGGAGGGCTGAGAAATGGTGAATCCACAGATTGCAGGTGTGAATACATCGTTGTCATCCACAAAGTCCTACAAACCACACTGGGAAACAATTGTACAACTGATTTTTTTTTTTTAAATCTCATGCTTTTTGTTTTTCTAGACAGAGTTTCTCTATGTAGCCCTGGCTGTTCTGGATGGAGCTGGCTCTATAGACCAGGTTGACCTTGAACTCAGCCATTTGCCTGACTCTGCTGGGATTAAAGGGTGTGCACCACTACCCAGTCAAAAACTCATGTTTTAAGTCAGTTTATGAGTCTGTGTTGGCTCACATTTGAACCTTCCTGGACAGCACATAGTCCACGGGCTATCGATTAGACAGGCCTGTACCAGGGTGTCCTTGGGTGCATGCATCCAGCCTCCCTCTGAGAAATGCAGGGAGGGACCACAAAGCTCAGTCCCACATGTAATGCTAGGTTTCTCCAAAGGGGGCTCTACAACCCACTGTGGATGCCCACTGTGCCTTACCAAGAGCATGGTAGGTGGAAAACTTCCATATTTCTTCAAAAGTCTTAAACGTCACCACGATCCGGTCCTGGTCACTGTGGATGGACAGCAACCTGGCTGACAATTCCTTAAGAGGAAGAGACAGTGAGTGACAATATCTTCGGTGGCCTCAGAGAACAGGTGCATGGCTCTGGAGAGAGCTTGAAAAATGGCCCTAGTTGGGATGACAAGTGCGGGATTCATTCCCTTACACTTCAAAAACTCATTATGGCTGTCCTCTACTTCCTATTGTAAGTGGTCAGTTGGGATCCAAAGCCTGGAACCAGCAGCCCAGAGGTACAGTTTGTTGAGCAGCTGGAGGGCCAGGGCTGTACTAGGGGCATGAAGGCGGTTATGTGATATAGCGTCTCACTGAATACAAAAGTCTAAGAATTTCCAGCGTGTAGCTAAAGGAGCTGCCTTCACATGAGCCATGATTCTACCCCAAGTCTGTGATGGTGACACACAGCCCAGTCCTGACCCTCACTGTCCTGAGTGACTCTTCAACTCTGTCACCTTCCTCTTCTGTCTCAACTTGCTCCCTAGGCCCCTGGGTTGACTCACGCTGAGCACACGGGCCACTTCCCGGCTGTCATTCTCCAGCAGGCGGAGCCGGCTCCTCAGGGCCTGCTGCAGGCTGGGGCTCCGCAGTCCACTCTTCCGCCTCACGGCCAACAACTGCAGGGTCAGGTCTGAAGGAGCAGAAGGCAGTTCAGGCAGCTTATCAGGTCTGATGGGGGAAATGCTCCCCACGGCTTCCACCCATCAGCAGGAGTCTATAATACAACAAACTCCACAATGCCTGGAGTTCCCTCCCCAGCCTTATTCTCTCAACTCTTTGTCTGTGTCCTCAAGTAGGGAACAGGGCCCTGGGCCACCATTTATCTCTCCAGTCGTGGTTTCCCTAGCTGTGTCTACCCTGCACAGGAAGAAGGGGATTCGTGTTCCATCCTTCCCATGGGCCAGCAAAGGGCCCATTCAGCCAGGGTCCCTTAGTAACTGTTACCTTCATCCTCCCATTCCCACAACCCAGCTGCAGAGGTGAGCCCAACTCAAACCACCATGGGCATGCCAGGCACTCTGAAGCCTCCATACTGGCTCTTTCCCATCTTCAGAAGGGCCCGCCCCCACCTTTACCAATCTACCAAGAATCCCCACCCTTAAGATGCCTTGGCTGGGAAGGGACAGCTGAGCTGCAGCCAGCTCTCCTGGGCCTCTCTTAGACAGTATTCTGATCGCCACACATCCAGAACCTTGTGTACTATGACCTGGCCTGGCTCCCAGAACTGTAGCTTAGCACAATCCAGTGGGTCTTTCTTCATGATGAATACCCCGTTTGTCTTCATGTTACGTGCAGTGGCCGCCAACCATTTGGGTTTCAGGACTCTTGAGAGCTTCCCAATGTGGCTGAGGTGCCGGTCTTTTCATCTAGCCCAGTAACTTTGAATGCAAGATGCCCATGTGATTAGCGTCTCCACCCTGTCCCCAAAATAAAATCTGTTGGCCCTGTGTGATCCTCTCTGCTGCTTCAAGACGTCAAAGCATCCTCCGCCCTGTCTCAGCTCTTTTTCCTGCCATGCCTGTGCCTAACCTGGACTAGACCTTCCTCTGCTGTCATTTCCTCTAATGCCTCACCCCAGAATCCAGGCTCCTGGGCAGCCAATTTATCTGTCCCAGTGTTTGGAAATGCTAATCAAACTGGCCCCCTGATCCTCAAGGTCACTTGCAGCAGCCTTTTCAGGGGCCGTTCTCTCTACGGAGGATACTGGGGTGTGGGAGAGGAGTGTGAAGGAAGGAAGGAGATATGCTGGTTCCCACGTCCTTGGGATAGTCCAGAGCACCTGTCTGCATCTTCTGGCCTGGGGATTCTGATGTCAATATTCTCACCCCAAGTGGCGAAGGTCCAGAGTCTGAGCAGTGTGGAAGCGTCTGGAACAGTGGTTCTCAACCTGTGGGTCGCGACCCCTTTGGGATTATATATCAGACACCCCCCCCTCAGTCAAGTATTTACATTACAATTCACCACAGTGGCAAAAATACACTTAGGAAGTAGCAACAAAATAATTTTGTGGTTGGGGGTCATGACACCATGAGAGACTGTATGAAAGGGTCGCGACGTTAGGAAGGCTGAGAAGCACTGCTCCAGAATCTCACATTTCACAAGGAACCTGAGCTGTGACCGCTTTTGAACTCCCTCTTCCCAGCAAGGGCAGGCTCTGCATTTGCAATTGCCCAATGGTTCGTGCACCCCAAGCGACTGCGGGCAGCACTAAGCACCCCAAAGGGGGACTCTGAGGAAGATGGGGATAACAGCAAAATAGAAAGTTCAATTGCAGAGCCGGGTGCTCAGGCCTCCCACAACTGGAGATAACCGAGAGGCTCCAAAGGAAACTTCCTTAGCCCAACGCTATATGCAGTGCTCCCCAACTGTCCTCAGTAGATGCTAGTGTAAAGGTGATCCTGACCTTCCAGACTTTCTTGTGTGGAGACACTTAGGATCGAAGGCCTATCTATCCTTAGCACCCTGAAGCAGGAACCTGCATTGCCTTGTTCCAGATAATGTTAATGTGGCAAAGCCCTGGGTGGATTTTGGCGTACTCCCGAGACTCTACACTTGCTTACCTGGTGACTTGGAATGATCCCTCCCCAAGGCCCTGTGTTGAAGTCTTAGTCCTTAGCTTATGGTGCTAGGAGGTGGTGGGGCTTTCAAGTGGTAGGGCCAAAGCTGGGTGTGGTGACTCATGCCTATAATCCTGGCACACAGAAGGCTAAAGCAGGAGGATTGCCTTGAGTTTGAGGCTACCCTGTCTCAAAAAACAAAACCAGCTGGGTGTGGTGGCACACGCCTTTAATCCCAGCACTCGGGAGGCAGAGGCAGGATCTCTGAGAGTTTGAAGCCAGCCTGGTCTACAAGAGCGAGTTCCAGGACAGGTTCAAAAAGGGACAGCGAAACCCTGTCTCGAAAAACCAAAAAAAAAAAAAAAGAAACGAAACCAAAACAAAGACATTGGGGCTGAGTGGGAGTCACTGGAGAAGGCAGGGAGATTGCAAAACCAGTCTCCTCTCTTTCAATTCCCAACCATGGGACAAGTGCTGTTTCCTGACAAGTGTCCCCACTGTGACTTGCTGCCCTAGATTCAAAGCAATGAGCCAGCCAACCATGGTGAGCAGGAGGTCCACCCACTCTACCAACCCACCTCTGTGCTGCTGTCGACAGACCACAGATCTGGTCTGTTGTGAGACCCAGGCCCTGATGCTCACCTGTGGGATACACTGCCATTTGGCGGGGACAGGTTTCAGCAGTCAGCTCAGCCATGCTGGGGGGAGGAGCTGCATCTGCAACACACCAGACAAGGTGATTAGAGGGGCAAGAGATTCTCCAAACAACCCGGTCCTTCAGAAAGAAGGCTTGGCACCCACTGGACTCCTTTCTCATCAGTCACCCGGCATGCCTCATAAAACCCCCCAAAGGGGGTAAGCTGTGAGCCTGGTAGCATGCCACAAGAAACAGGTCCTGACCCAGCATGCTCTAGAACCCGATATGGGCCTCAGAGTGAATTAAGGTGCCATCGGTTGGTATATGCAGCTCCATGCAGTCTTACTCCCTGCAGCTTCAGGACACCGTTCACACCCCATGGCTCTGACCACTCTCCAAGTTCAGATCTCTGACTCTGTCCCCCTTACCAGATGTCTTTCCAGATGCAACGGCAGCATGTCTAAAATTTGCTCTCGAACAATTTAGAAAAATTGTCATGTCTATATATACCCTCGGAGCGAGAGGCAGTGAACACGGAGAAAAACATTCACTGGAGGAGACCAGAGTCGCTTACTCTGTTTCTTGTGACTTCTGCTGCACCGCCCCCACCCTTCCAGGACTCAGAACTAAGGATGTCCTATCCACTGCGTAGCCTTGCTGCCAGTGGTCCTCAAGACAGAAGTCCATAGACTGGATGAGCCTGGTTACAGCCATTCTGATGCCACAGTGTGTGTGTGTGTGTGTGTGTGTGTGTGGTGATGGTGGTGGTGGCGGTGGCAGTGATGGTGGTGGCCGCAATGTTAGGGTTTACTTTACAACCCAGTAATTCCAATTTCTAAGCATCCACTCAAAAGAAATGAAGAATCGGGTCTACACAAAAGCTTATACCTGTGTGTGTGGCAGGTATCCTAACCATGGAGAGGGGCAGGCGAGATGTCCCTGCTGGCAAAGGGGCTTGCTACTGAGCCTGACAACTTGCGTTCAATCTCTGGGACCCACAGAGCAGCCTCCCAAGGGGAAGTTTCTGGCCACATGGCCCACAATGCTTCCCAAGCTCTCTCTCATCTCTGACGCTGGTAGTCTCTCCCTGGGTGGCCTGGGGGTGACCCTCAGGACTTCCCTGCTTATCTGCATGTTCCCTTTTGCTTTCCTGCCCAGGAAAAGGAGAGCCATGGCAAGCTGTGGGTTCCCCAGGCCCCAGCCCAGCCAACCCTCCCTTCCTGGGAGGACCATTTCCTGTTTTTGAGTCAGTACCAGACCACCAGGCTCCTCCTCCTCCTCACCCAGGGGCAGAAGGCCCAAATGGCAGGTCTACAATCGGCAGATGCCCAGCCTTCGCACACCAGGCCTGCCTGGGAGGTTAGGGCTCCCTTCTCTTGGTATGTCATTCATTCTTGTGTCAACCTGGAGTGACTTAGAAGGTAGCATTTGGCTAGCTCTATAGGCCAAAGACCAGACAGCTGAGCAAGTAACAGTCATACAGCATGAGGAAGCTTGAGAAATGGGAGGGCCGGTCCTCTTCCTCTCTCTTCTCTGTCAGGGCCCAAGGAGAGCAGTGATGGGGCCCATGGGGTTGCTAAGGTTGCCTCTCAAGTTTTTCACGTGGGGGAAACTGAGGCCCAAGTCTAGCAGTACCTTGTGTACAGCCATGATAAGAATGAGTCCTCCTGGGATGTGGCCCCTCTGGCTTCCTCATTGTAGTGCCCAGCTGTGTCTGGGTAGCCACACAGCAGGTGGCACCACCCAGGCCTCAGGAAAAGACTTCATTCCTGGTTTGGCCCTGGTCACTATAGAGCCTGAGCCTTGGTTTGCCTTATGGGCGGGCACTCCACTCTGAGTAATGCAGGGAGCCAATGAGGACAAAGCAGGATAGCATTGCGTAGACTAGTCAGTCTATCATGGGTATTTCTAGAACATTCTCTAGATGAGCAAGTTGGCTCCAGGGCAACTTTGCTATCACTGAGGCTCTTAGAGAGGCCCCTGTTCAGCAAAGGACTCACTGGGCCTAGCTGCACTGCAACCAGCTCAGAAGCCTGGCCTTCTTTACTAAACCCAGTGGGCCCAGTGAGTAGCACCAGGGTACCCACGCAGCTCTGTCAGCATGAAGGAGTCAGAAGTACATGCAGTAGACAAGTGGACAGGAGGATAAGATGGGCTTCAGCAGCTGTACTCACCACCTTTGACTGTTGCCTCAGCCTCCTCAGGCCCTGCTCTCTCTTGACCAGTGGGCATGCTCACGCATACACCGTGGATCTGGTCCCCATGGCTACAGCCCCTTGGAGGCTCCTCGGGTCCCCGTCCCATGGTGAATAGCTCAGAAGTCACCTCCTCCTCTCTGGAGCTCCTCATGACACACAGTGGCCTCAAGGCTAAGAGCTGGACATGTTGTTGGCCTTCTGTGAAGAGAGGACAGTGGTCAGATGACAGGTCTCTTAGTGACAGGATGTTGTGGTTAGAGGCAGGTCAAGAGAAGACAGTCAATACAGGGTGCCCAGCACCTCCAAGATCTGGCAGTGAGCTTTGTTTGCCACAGGTGACCCCACAGCCTGATCTGGGGACCAGACCCGTAAGTTGCTGCATGCTCTTCCTACACCTCAGGCCATCTCACCCACCTCTTCAGACCCTCATGTCTGCCACATTTTTACAATGGTGGGGCCTTTGTGCAGAGGCTGATATTTCTGACAGAGAACCCAAACCCTTCACCTAGTGAATCCCCCAAGCAACTTTTCAGAGCTCCACTTGACAAGTTCCTCCCCAGCTCAGTCAGACAGCTGAATTAGGCTTCCTCAGAGCTGGGCACCAACAAGGACATCAAATCAAAGGCACCTCATCTGACAAGACAGGGTGGGTAGGGGTGCTGGGTATCTCCCTTCTTGCTCTCCAGGAGGTCCCTGACAGCTGCTCAGATATCCTTGTAGATGACTCAACACATGTACAGGATGCTGTGGGGACAGGAATGAGCCCAGGCCTCCATCAAACACCTGTGGATGCTGGTTTTCAATGGGATGACCACACACCCCATCTAGCTAGGGGTGAGAGAATCAGCTCAGAGATGGACAAAGAGGGAAAGAAGGAAGAATAGGGGAGGGAGGGGTGGGAAGGAGAGAGAAAGGAGGGAAGGGGTGAGAAGGGATCTCAGTTTTATAGGCTATGGGGTTCCAGACCCCATGACCTCAGTATTACTGGTGACCCCATGACCTGTCACTGTGCCTCACTCTTCCCTGGTGTCAGAAGTGATAGAAGAACAATGTAACGGGACAGCCATGTTCCTGAATGGTTCTATCATCCATCAGAGGGCACAGAGCACCAGATGCAGGTGAGTGAATGGAAGGGGCCACAGGCAGGGCTATGGAACACAGGCTAGACTCTCAGCTTTGGTAATTGTGACAGGGCTAGCCACAACACCCTCAGAAAGGACAAAGGGCCCTATGCAGAGGTTGGCTGAATGTCGTTCAGAACACTCCAGCCTACAGGCCTCTCTCACTTCAGGACAGAGTATCTGCCGAGGGTTGGAGGCTTTCATCTCTGTAGATAGAACAGTCATGGGGACACCCTCTTACTGAGTCCACAGTCTGACCTTACCCTTTCTTACCCCATACTGGGCATGGGATACCCAGATGCAGACCCAGAAACCCAGCTGGCAGAGTGGGACCAGAGCCCACATGTGCTACCACGATTGGCCCATGCCTACTGATCTGTGGTGGGGAACTCCTCCAGCAGAGGTAGACAGGGAAGTGGGGCATCTGGGCTCCCTTCAGATCTAGGATATAGGTCACAGGACTAGGATGGGCAGGAGCCCAGGCCTACGATGCAGAAAGCAGAGGTGCCAGCAAACTTTTACCCAGGACTAAGGGGTTTGCTGCCATGCCTGTTTTGTTTTTGTTTGTTTGTTTGTGTGTGTGTGTGTGTGTGTGTGTGTGTGTGTGTGTGTGTGCTTGTGCAGGGTGTAGTGGAGAGGAGAGGCTGGAGTAGAAAGGCCAGGGGTGCTGTGACCGGTCTTCCCCCCAAAATAGGGCAACAGAACCTTTATGAGACTCATTGTACATTAGGTACATCAGGACTACCTGGCCTGGTTCCTGCTCCCTCCCCAAGAACTGCCCAAGCACATGGAACTGGGCCAGCCAGCCAGGCTTAGCTTTAGGAGGTTTAGAGACATAGGCCACACACCTACTCACCAGTCATCTACTGCCTGGGGCCAAGGCACATGGAACTTCCACTCTACAAATGAGGCTGAAACTGTGCACAAACTTTTTTTTTTTTTTTTTGTTTCGAGACAGGGTTACTCTGTGTAATAGTCCTAGCTGCCCTGGAGCTAAATTTGTAGACCTGATTGGTCTCAAACTCACAGAGATCCACCTACCTCTGCCTCCCAAGTGCTGGGATTAAAGGTGTGTACCACCACCACCCAAGTGATGCCCATTTCTAGTGGTGGGGAGGAATCTGTAACTCCAGTCACTGATACTGACTGTGAGCCCAAGAGCCTTCTACCTGCTGCTCCCTGTAGCTTTCAGGAGGCTGGCCATCTTGTGGGGGAGGGAGAACTTTCCCTGAGAGTTGCCCACAGAGACCCCAGCAGGGATTCGGCACAGAGTGACAGAACCCTAGATGGCCGAATCAGGAATGGGAGGAGTCAATGCAAGTCTCCGTGGGCACTGCTGGCACCATGAGGACTGGCCCTGGCCTAACTCATGGCATCTCCCCTTCTACAGATCAGGGGTGGCAGGATCCCCATTCTGTTGCTGCCCCCTAACCTGTGCCAGTCTCGTGCCAGGCCTGTGAGCAGCTGGGTTGTCACATAGCAGGGAGTGTCAGCTGCAGGGGGTCGCCTAACCTTGGGGGTAGGCAGCTGGAAAGGGAGAGAGATTCACAGGGAGGAGACTTGAGTCCCCAGGAGAAGTGGCCTCAGTGAGCCCCTGACCTACCCATCCAGCACCTGCCTTTCATGGAAAGGCATGCAGACAAATCCTTCTCTTTCTCCAACTATGCCTGAAGGCTAAGATCTGAGATATGCAGATAGGAAAGAGATATCTCATACCAAGGGTACCAAGAGGACCTTGGATCCCTACAGACACCTGTTCACCTCAACATTCAATCACAAAGGAAAACAAACAAACAAACAAACAACTTCAGGCCCCAGGATCCTGGCGTGGCCCAGTTCACAACACAGGGACAGAATTACAGACCAAGTGCCCTCCTGTCCCCTGTCCTAAGGCATGGTCCCAGCTGGTCATGCCTGAGATACTCCAGGCCATCCTTCAGGCACTGACCATATCAGCCTGACCCCCTCCACAACCTAAGTCCAGCCTGAGCCTGGACTTGTGTCCTTCCCTGCCTTGTTTTACCAAACTGTCATCCTGGTTCCTACCACCACAGAGGCCCACAGTCTTTCTTGCCCAGGTCTGTGAGGATAGGTACATGCCCAAGGGGTAGGTGACTTCTGATCCCCTCTGGTGTAACACATCAGGGCCCTCAACCAAGTATTTGATCCAGTCTCTTGAGTGAGGCCCTGGTCTATAGGGTCTGTGGCTCCCAATCACTGCCCCCCCCAACTCATCATGTTTCACCCCAGTGTTCTTAGTCTTCTCTCTCTGCCACTTAGACCTTCAGGTGTCCCTACTTCCAGGCTGGCCAGTGTCTCTACAGAAGCTGACCGATGCCCACTAAACTTTCCATTCCTGGGTCAGGGAGGCACTTAGGGGTCTCACACAGACCTGGGGCTGGGCTTAAAGTGTTTCTGAAGAAATGGGACTCCCACTGAGGGAACTTCCCACCTACTCATTGAAGGCCCCCAAACTGCAATCACAGTGGGGCTTAAGAGCCCCAAAGAGGACGTGGGCCCTGTCTGCAAATGTGGAGCCACCTCTTCCCTGCACAGACCTCCACAGGCTTGCTTGGCCTGCTCCAGCAAGAGAAGCAACCTGGAGTCCAGCCAGCCCAGCCCCAGATGGTGTCCAGAAGCTTCAAAAGTACACGTGCTGGGTTCAAGTGACCAAAAGTGGTGTACGGAGTCTCCTTCCAGCCTTTGCCTTCTGCCCAGGTGGCAGAAGCATGAGGTGACCCCAGGTCCGTCACCGCAGGCTCTGACCTCCAACGCCCACCTAGTTTACTGCTGGAACACAGAGACCTAGGACCAATCTCAGTGGGGGGAATGTTCTATGCCTCAGTTTACCAACCCGTAAAATGAGAACGAAAACACCCACTCAAGGTGTTAGGAACATCAAGCAGGCAGACAGCACACTGGCTTACAGCCGGCATCAGTACTGTAGGCTGGACGGAGGAGCCTCTATGGTTGGCCCTGCCTGTGTCTCAAAAGATCTGGCCGGAGACCCATCAATGGACTTCCTGAACCTAGGCTTTGCAGGACTGTTGAGACTTTGCCTGGAGGTGGCAGTGTTCTCCACAGGGTGGGGTCTTGGTTGGAAACAGGTGGTTTCAGATGAAGCTGCCCTCAGTTCTGTTGGAAGTTGGATTAGAATAATCCCAACAGACTAGGTGGTCATGCCAGATTAGAGTGAGCCTCTGCCTGGTGCCTGGGGTCTACAAAGACCAGGGCACACAGACGAAGAGGGCACATGACAGAGGCAGGAGCCACTCAGGCACAAGCAGAGGCTGGAAGAAGCAGGAAGGACCTTGCTTTGGGAGCTCTGGAGGCTGTACCCTTTTTTGTTTCTGACTCCTGGCAATCAAACCATAAGAGAACAATTTCTGTCACAGTCTGTTATGGCAGCCATAAACACGGTGACAGCCTGAAGGTTTCTCTCCTGGGAAATGGGCTTCACACACCCACATCGTGGCATCTGTGATTCCACACACTTAAGACACTGGCATCCCGCCTGCTGCAAAAAGTTCCGTGAAACCAGCAACCTGGTGACGGTCATGTAAAGGTGGCACCTTTCAGCACCCTCCTCAGGCTTCACCTTTACCTCAGCCAGGAGGATGACCCTCACTCCACCCATGCCACAGATGTGGAGCACAAGGTTTGGCCCAGCCACGGTCCCAAAAGCAGGGGACTGTAAGTCAGGTGGCGGGAGTCTGGTCCCTCACCCCGAGCACAGGTCCTGGAGCCCTGGAGTCCTAGAGTCCTAAAACAGGCTGCTCCCGCTGAGGTCTTCAGAGACAGTAGTCAGTAACCCTAGCCAAGATATGTATTTCATTGGTTAACATAGAGACCCAGAGTGACCGCACAGTGGCCCGGTCACAGACACAGGGGCGCCACAAGCTCCACGCTTGGGCGTTCTTGTCATGGGCTGCAATGAACAAAAACTAGAGTTCAATACTGGAGCCCACTGGCTTTTGAATCCTATGTCTTTTCCAGACCTTAAGGACGCATTCGCAAGGGCCAGGTCACAATTAGCTGTTGGTCTCATCTGAGCAATCTTGACAGTCTAGCAGAAGAACCCTGGGGTGCTGAATGCCAGTCTCTAACAGCTCCCTGGCAGGGTTCTGGCATAGCCCAACCCTAAACAAGCCAGAAGAAAGAGGAAGGTTGAATACTATTCTTAGATACAGTTGTGGCAAAGCCTGGCTCTACCAATCACAGCCAACTCACAAAATCCATGCCCCTTTCCGGAGCCCCCCTTACCTGCACTCGGTTCCTCAGAGAACCGCCTTCCAGGCCCAGGGACGCAGGTGCCAGGTGGCCACTTCTGGCTCAGCTCCGTGCTGACTGGCCGGCCCACAGGCTGTCTGTCTCCAGCTGGCCTGGACAGGCAGGGGCCGCCCACAGCCGGCTGGCTGACTGATCAGTACTGCCACCGCCCCCCTGTTTCCTGCCCTGCTTCCTCCCTGAGCCTAGGGGCCTGGAGACCCAAGGCGGGCTGAGTACTTCAAGCTCTCCACTGACCGGTTGATCATTAGCTCCTTGTGGACCAGAGCCAGGCCCTGTCACTGCCTGCTCACTGCCAGCCCTGTGCTCTGTGGTGAAGGCTGGGGACACCCTCAGTGCTGAGATTGGGGAAGTCCACCGGAAGCCGGCCCTAAGGCCCTGCTAACCCCAGTCCAGCTCTCTGTTCCCTTTTCCCTGTTACACACGTGCGTACACATGCATGCAGATATGTGGGTGGCCTCAGAGACATGTGTGGGTACACAGACCTCGCACATATATGTGCATGCATATTGCACGGAATACACATGGGCTGCTTCTCACTCTGCCCTTGGCACCATCTCAGCCCTCTGATTCCAAGGGGTCCATTCTGGAACAGGTCAGCCTCCTTTTCAGCTTGCAGGTACTACAGCCTTGGAACTGGCCTCAGCGGATAGACACTTTCCCTTTCTCACAGGCTGTAGCCTGACCTGAGAACTTCCCCATGACCTCAGGCCCATGCAGAGCCCACCCTGAAAGATGGGGCTGGTCTGCCCGCCACACTGGCTAGGTACTGTGGGTATCTCTCCCCCCTGCCTGTCTCCATTTGTGGGGGATTCTGAGGATGTAGGTACACTGTGCTTCACATCTCTCTCCAGAGAACACAGACCATGGGATGCTAGCCTCCCCACCAGGCCTGTTTTTCTGAAAGCTGTGTCAGTAGAGGTCCCTGCAAGCCCACACCCATACATGGGTCTGGAAGTATTTCCTCTCCCGGCTATTGTCCCCACTGCGCCCAAACCAGTATCCTGTTTGTCTCAGAAGCTGCTCTCTTGGCCCAAGACCAGGGGGATTTTCTGAGAGACTCCCCCAGTGTGTGCAGGGCACTCCGGGGCCATCCAGTATGGGAACCATCTTTCTGATCCAGGGCTCTTCAGTAAGGCCATCCTGAAGTTATGAGGTACAAAACAGAACCACATAGCTCTGGCTTCCAGAGGGCCACTCAAACCCCAGTCTGCCTCTCTTGAGATCCCTCCAGAAGAACCTGTCACTTTCCTGAGCCTCAGTTTCCCCTTTGCATAAAGTCGAGTTGGGGGGGGCACTCGGCTCCCACAGTTCTGATCCATGACATGGCTGTAGCATGTTCAAGTTGTCATTGCCATGATGCTGATCCCTTGGGTAGATCACGCCATGGGACTTTGTGACAGCCCAGTGCAACTGTCATCCCTGTGACCCCAACAGGCTTGATATCAAATAGAGAGGTATCTTTCCCAGGGTTCTTCAACGTAGGCAAGCACTGGAACCAGGGTCTTTTCTCCCTTACCCCCTCACTCTTTGGTGTCTATGTCTAGACAGAGGCAGCAGGCCCTATTCCTAGGAACCCCAAGAATCAGGCCCTACCCTGAGAGATGAGGTCTCCAGAGCATCCCAGGCGCATGCTTTAAATGCCAAACCAAACAGCAGCGGCCCCACTTCTCTTGTCCCTCTTCATCACATAACTTCCTCGGCGCTACTGAGATGCATTAGGTGTGAGAGTGACCCGTGGCCAGTTGCTCCTCACCCCGCCCCACCTCTTGTCCCAGCTCTTCTCATTTCCTCACCTGCCCCAGGAGGGGAAGTCACAGATGGAGCTACATGGAAGGTATGTTATCCTCCTCAGGGAGGTCTCGCTGACAGAAGCTCGCCTTCTGAGGCAGGCTCTCCCTGCCCACCCAGACCAATGAGGCACACATTTAATGAAGTCATGGGCACAGCTACTATTTTGGATTGTCCTGTGACTATTAAATGAAAGAGCAGGATGCATCTAAGACAGGCGAAAGAGCCATCCCGGAGAGGCCATGGTGCCATTAAACCACAGTGGGGACAAAGGAAAGTTCCTGGCCCTCTCACCTAGCGTCCTTGTTCTCCCCAAACATACTCTGAGGCTCTAATTCCACCCCCTCTGCGTAGTGTCCCCTTGTGTGGCACACTCAAAGGCTTCTTTGGAGACAAGTGTGCCATTGCAAGGTTCTTCTGCTCCAGGCTCTACCAATGAGAGAGTCCACATCTGCCCACCAGGATCCAGCTATGGCTTGAAGCCCCAAAACCATGGTGGCCCACTGTATCAACTCTGACACCAGGATGCCAGGACTGACTTGGAGGGCAGGTAAGGCAGACAACAGGAGCAGGACTTCCTGGAAGTGGAAGATTCTAAGCCAAACTCTGGAGGGAAACTAGGCAAAGATGTATTATTGTGAGGGGTCTCCAAGGGGACAGGTGAGCTCTGAAAACCACTTAAGCCCAAGTATATCCCAGAGGACTAAGCCTCTGGAAGCAACCCACTCCCTAACACAAACAGCTAGGAGAGGCTAGCCGCCCTGCCCTGAGGTTAATCTGTAACGGACTATAAAAATGTTGAGCTCAGTAGAGCAGAGGCCTCCAGCAGAGCCTTAAAGATCGTTAAAGAACATGAAGACAAGCATACTTTCAGGCCCAGAGAAGAAATGTGTTTAGCTTTGCTGACCATCGGGTCTGTTATAATTCTGCCATTATAATGGGGCATTGAGAAGTAGCCAAGGATAGGCATGACCATCCTCCACCACCACTTTTCACAGCAGGGGACCAGGTCTGGCCTATGAGTGTGGTCTGTGGACTGCTCTGATGAGGCCTCGAGGCAGATAGGGTCATGCTGGCCTGAATACCAGTGGCTCACTTAGGCCCCTGTGACAGACTGGGCATGCAAAGCCTCAGTGCGGGGAATCTCTGTTAGGACATGAGATGGGGCTAAGAGATGGTGTGAGCAGCTGACTTGTGTAGAATACAGGAATGCAAACTTTCTCTACTCTGTGAGGGGTGGACGCAATCACACAGAGGACAGTAAACCATCTGTTTTCTCGTGGTTCTAAATGAAGACTTTTGGGTGACAAGGCAGTAGTTGACATCCTTCAGGATTGCACAAGGGGAAACTGAGGCTTGTGTAGAGAGTCACCCTCAGCCCCTTGCACAGGAAAGAGGGACTTCAATATATTTTCATTTCCAGGCTAATTCTTAGAGATCAGTTCTGTCTACATACGGGTACAGCCTTGGGGATGCACCCTAGCCTGATTCTCCCTGTGTCAAAGCTGCCTAGCCCTGAAACCAGTTTGTGTCTCCGCAGTGTCCTGCAAACATCAACCAGTCTAAGCACACACTTCCCATGCACCTCTGTGAGAAACAAAATTATATCAGCTAAGACTTCTTTCCAGAAACTGAGGTCCCCAGGCTGTATTACTGCTCTCTAAGGTGGGCAGGAGGACTTGAAGCTGGGATTTCTGCAGCCCTGCCCCCCAACATCAGCCACAGGCTTAAAATGGGGGCAACGGCTCCGAGGCCACTTCGGTTGTTACGGAGGCACACACAGACCCACTTGCTCTCTCAGCCGCTTTCCATTTCTTCACTCCTAGCCAAACTTCAAGTGCTGTCGGTGTGCCTGCCACACCACACACCCCAAGCTACCTTTGCGTCAGCTACAAGCTCAACATCAGCTGTGGATGCCAAAGGCCCCCTCTCTGATCTCTCCAACCAAGCAAACTGCATGTACCCAGTCCTCCTTTGTCCTGCTCTTGTGCCAGCTAAGTGCGAGGGGACTGCTTACCTGGAGCCTGGAATCAGGCTTGGCTCCTATATTTCCCTCCCGCCTCCTGTGGAACATCATGTATGGCCCTGGAGAGACAGAGGGGCATCCGCAGGCAAGCCCTCCCTGCCTGCTCTGAGCAGGAAGCCCCAAGGAGACAGTCACACCTGCACCCTTCACAACCCCGGAGCCCAGCTGTGATGTTTCCCAAGTGATGTAATGGAGGAGTGACCAGAGGGATCACTGCTTTGATGCCAAGCCAGGTGTGTACTGTGGGGTCTCTTCTCGTCGGCTAAAGAAAGGGGCTTGCCCTTTGCCTCTATTCATACTATTTGTACACAAAAGACAACCTGGAGACAGACACTTATCTCCCACTGCTCACCCCCATACACAACTCTCCTCAGAGGTGACTGAGGAAGAGCAGGTTCTGGAGTTGACAGCTCAGATGAGTCCTCTGGATAGCTACCTCAAATTCAGCTTCCAGGTCTGCCTGGCTCAGCACCTGCTAGGTATGAAGAAGCGGGGGCACAAAGGAAGCCGTTATCTCTACTCTCATGATAGTTCAGCAGGGTAAGAGTAGAGACGGACCAGTGCTGAGCATCAGAGATGTGGCCGAGCCACCCACAAGAGTTCACGGTCAAGTGGCAATGATAGTTATCAGGGCCAGACAAATAAAATAGCTCCTCTCCCAGCACTGGGACAGGGCGGGCAATAGGCCAGTGACTAAATCTTGGCTGTAGATGGGTGGAAATGGCCTGGAGGTGGGGTGCCCAGACAGCTGGGGCTATGGAAATGTGACTGAATGCATTTCCATATGGTCATGGAGTGGCTGGAGGTGCCAAGAGGCAAGAGAATACAATTGGTGGACTGATGGACTGATGAATGAACCACGTATAGGTAGGTAAGCAGATAGGCCAGAAGGCAGGCAGACCAATAGACAGACAGACAGACAGATAGATGGGTGAATGAATTATTGGTGGCTCAACAGGTGCCCACTGTGATATGACTAAGCCAAGAGGACACGGGTACTCACTGAAAAGGTCCCAGTGGATGCAGCTAGAACAATTTGAGCAAGAAAATGAGGCAGCAGGTAGAGGACAGCTCAACGCGTGATATCTGTTCTTGGCTGTCAGCTCGCCACAGCCGCAATGAGCTAAAACCCAGGTGGCTGAGCACACCTGTGAAGGATTTTTCTTTTTCTTAAAAAAAAAATTATTTTTAACCTGGGAAGACCCACCTTTCATGTGCGCCACACTTCTGCTGGCAGCCTCTGTAAAGGCCGTGGAAGAAGGAAGCTTGTCCTCTTCGCCTGCTCTTGCCCACTCTGGCAAGCCCGTCCCCTCGCTGGATTTGAAGCCTTTAGGAGTCCAGCACATCCTGAAAACCACTTGAGACATCCAGCCTCGTGGACTGAAAAACTACCTCCAGACATTGTTGAAGTAGCTGAACTACAGATGGTAAACCATTCTAGTAAATTCTC